TACTATTGCTTTTGCTAGTCAAATCAATAATTTCCTTTTTTTTCAAATTAGTAGGACAGTTTCAATAATTAACACATTGCATACATTCTTCCTAGTGGTTAATTGCTGTACAAGATGCGGACATGATATCCTATTTACAAACACCATTAGAACAAATCACTCTATTCATTAAGAGAATGTAACTATATATCTATCCTAGCCACTTTGAATACACAGACACAAAATAGACATTCATCTGTAGTGCTTTTTTTGTTAAGTTCCATTAGTTGAATATTATAGGTGTATAAACTCAGCAAAATATTCTAAAAGAGTCCAGTAGCCCATAATAGTACTGGGTCTTCCATTTGACTGGCAATGTCAGAAATCGTTGACCTGAGTCCCCTACAGTTCAACAAAATAGCATGGCTTTACTTTTTATATTTTGTTTTTATACTTTTCTGCTGGATGGTTAAGACCAAGGTAAAGCAGGACCTATGCAACAAGAGTTGTAGCTTTTGGGTCTGATAAGGTCAGTGAAATCCCCTCAGGATTTATCCTGAGATCCTGTACCTCAGATTGTAGATCCTTCATCCGTGTCAGCCATGAGGATGAGTCACGGCCATTGCTTGGCCAATGTGCTCTCTATGAAAGCCTGAGAGAATGTTTTCTCTCCATGTGACTCTCCTTAGGCACACTCTACATCATCGATCACTTTCCTCTTTGGCCCATAATGTCCTTGATCAGAAAATTTGGGACACTACCGAGTTACATGACATTACAGTACAAGTTCTCATATGTCCTGAGTCTTAACTGACATTAGAAGGCTAGGGCCAAAATGTTGGCTTTCCTTGCAGCCCTCCTTTTTCTCTAATTTTGGTCTGCAAACTTAGGTTGTTAACCATCCAGAAGACAAGCTTATTGTTTTTACCATACAACTTAGGCTGTTAAGCTTAACCTCACCATCTGTCTGCATATCAAACATCTTAGGCATAACATGGAACAGGTATTTTTCATCAAGTATTGATATGTTGAATTTTAAGTTCCTACAGAATATGATAAAAAAACATTTAAAAATTAGAATATATTTTAAAAATAGGCATAAAGAATTCTACACTTCTTATATTTACACATAAGTCCAAAAATCTTACAATATACAACCTTGAAGCAGGACAGAACTACTGCCTCTTTTCCAGAGTTCACAGATGTTTTCTTTGGACCCAAAAAAGAAAAAGTTTTCTTTCCCATCTTATGAGGTGAACGCATTTTGCTTCACTTAAAAAAAGGGATTCTTGTGTCTGTAATGTTGAGTGCTGCTCTCTCATTTATTGTTTCTAGCCTAAATAATTCTCATGAAGTATTATAGGGGGTCCATGGATAAAAGCTTGTGAGTGAACTGTGCCTAGAATTCCAATCAACGATATGCTAAAGTCTTCTAGATGCTAAAGTCTCCTAGACTTTGCCCTTATTCTCTTTATAAAAAGTCATCACTCCTCTTCATAAAACTCTTTTAGTATATTCACTCTTGTTTATGTTATTTAGCCCATGCATGTTTAATTGTTTTTTTTTACTTTTTCTCCTCTAAACTAAAAGTTATACACCTACCCAAGAGAAAAAAATGTCTGGTATCTATTGAGGGTCTTTAGATAGAGCCTCTGGGGAGCATCTCTAACTGTCAGTCAACTATGACCTCTTTCAGCCTGAAGAAGCCAAAGCAGTCATCATCCATTGCTCCCTCACTGCAGTTCATGTTACTTCTTCAGAGGGGGAAATGTTACAGGCAGCTGAATTAGATAGAAATAGTATAGGCAGTCAGGCAGGGCTAGGCCCTTAGGGAGACAATATGAAAGACAAGATCACTTTGCAACTTCGGGAGAGACAGATACCCCTCCTGTGGCCAGACCTCAAGACAAAAGACCAAACAAATGCATACCTGCCTAAGGAAAGACATCAGGGATTGATATTCTAAATCGGTCTCTCACCTAGAGGATGTCTGGAAGAGTCACTAACCCCATCCCCTGAAGACAAAGCCCCTGTTCTGTGTTCATGCCTATTTACTAGGTGACTCACTTCCCCATTTGGTCCTGGATTTAATCAATTTTACCTGAGCAATTGTACTTCTAATCTTATTGGCTGACCATTGTTTTGTCTCACCTCATGCCCACCTAGCAAGTTCCCATTTTTTCCACCTTGGGCCTGCCTCCTTACATGGTTTTACTCTAGAAAAATCCCTAGAAGAGACAGATTTAGGGGCAGCCTTCAGGTCCTTCTTCTGTCCTTCTCTCAGACAGGAGCTTTCTTTCCCCCAATAAATATATTCTGCTCTTAACCTCCATCATTCCTACAATTCATTCTTCAGTTTTAAAGAACATGAACCTGACCCAGTTATCTTTCAGGTCTGGAGTTTCATTCCCCTATATCAACATCATGAAGTTTCTTATATTTTGATTAAGGGAAAGATGGTGGCTAAATATATTCCTTACTCATACAAGGCTGCCTTGTACAAATTCCAAGTAAGACATGTTATTTCACAGCTTGATCCACACTCTTTCTTCCTACAGGCTTACTCAGCACTATTTCTGAAGCACTTGGCTGTTTGTTCTAGGTGGCTTGAAGTCAGCATATTGGAATTTTTGACCCATGAAAAATAAGGAATTCCTTGTGGTCTCTGTAGTTGCTGTTTCTCGAGAAGGGGCCTAAGTATGGAAAAGAAAAGGAGAAGCCTCAGACTCTATCACTAGAGACAAAAGCTAAGCACCAATTTTAGGGGTCAAAGCCACAAAGGAGGCAAATTTCAGAGTAACAATGTGTAGAGCCACATGGAAATGTTATCAAAGAGAAAATAAATGGAATGAGAAGAAACAAGTGTCAGAACATCAATATCTGTGGATGCTTTTCAGTTCTTTGTCTGTTTAGTGCAGGGATACAGACAGCCATACTTTACCCTGTCATAGTCCAAGAAGTTCATAGTTGTAACTCCACGGAAAAAGTTTGGAATTCCATAGAGTTAATTCCAATCTACCACTGCCAGTGCAACCCACAGTGTAAATAAAGACACAATAATATATCCAAAGCAATGGGGAGTTACAGGGGTCCTGAGTCCTGCTACAATGATGGCTAACTGGAATAAAGACCTTGACTCAGGGCCAAATTCAGATTTAATTCATTCATGAAGAAGGGAGTGGCTTGAGGATGAGTGACTGAGTGCCATGAGCTGAGCTAGGTAGGAGGCCTGAAATCACCTCTGTAATACGCAGAGAAGGCTATGCAGAAAATCTACATAACGCAATTGAAATAGTACATGATGTTTTGGGGTTGGTGCCTCATCTTTAATGTGTAATCTTTAATGCCCTGGGAAGCCATAGCCTCTTATCTCAAGGTTCAGTCCCAGCTGACAGCATGTAGCATAACTCTCCATCCATCTTCAGCTCACATTTGGTTTTTGGGGAGCTAAAGTGGCTGGAAATACTGCCCTGTCTTCTTGTTTCATCTTTTATCTACATTTTTAATCTGCCAGCTCCCTCTGCACCTAGCTCCTATGCCACCATTGCTCTCAAGAGTCCCTTGAGGAGACTACACACTGCTTGGTGAGCTTTCTGGTCTACTTGGAAGTTGTCCACTCACCTTCCAGTGCATAGCTCACAATTAATTTCCTCACTAATAAATTAAGAGCACTTTCACATGTATAAGACACAAAGATACAAATATCTTAGAAATAAATATGCTTATATAAAATATTTCTGTAGCAATATATAAGACATATATACATATATAATTATTACATACCTTTACTCATGATTAATTTCAGATTAAGGAAATACAACATTTTAATATTTGGCTTATTTCATTAACAAAGACAGAGGTAATTGGTCATTGTAAGTGTTAATTTATTCAATTTTGCTGATTTCCAGTCTATATATAAAACAATTCTTATTTTTGTAAATATATATTAACAAAAAATAAAACATCAGATGCTAAATGTCTATGATGATTATTTTCCAATGATGAAATTATGGGTGGCTTTAAGCTTTTATACTTTCTAATTTTTAAAAATCTTGCACTTTACTGTGTTATACAAACATTTGTTTTGATCTGGATATAGAATATATGAAATGTCTTTCTTCTTCAGCCAGAAGAACTATTTGGTTTCATGTTTATGCTATAGTAACAAATTCTCCATTTAGTCAGAGAGATTTTCACATCAGAGGTAAAACTGTCCCCATAATTAACATTATTATATTTATTTTATATTGCTGGTGGCTCAATATGAAAATTTTCTCATCTTTATGGCTTTTCTGGACAGTGCCTGTTCCCTCGGAGCTGGGTTCTCAGTTGTATTCTTTTTTTTTTTTTTTTTTTTTTTTTGCGGAACCGGGGATTGAACTCAGATCTTTGCATTTGCCAGTCAAGCGCTTATCCTACTGAGCCATCTCCCCGGACCCAGTTGTTTTCTTTTATTTATAAAATGATATCCAGAAACTCTCTCAGCCTAGATCTGCTGCTTTGGAACAAATCATACTCAATTCATATTTTTATTTACATTGATATATTTTCCCATCACATTGTTATTACTTTTCTTTTTTAGAACTTCATTGCCTATCTCATTGCTTCTCCTTAAAATACCCATCCTCCTCAAAATGATGTATTACTCTAGAGGGAAAATATTTTCAGATGTAGTTTGTACCCAGGCTCAAATATAAGCTCTGATATTCATGAACTACAGAATTTTATGCAAGGGAATAAACCTCTTCAAGTTCAATTTCCTAAACTACAATTTGTAAAGCTGCATTTACCTCTTATATTTAGTAAGATTAAATGAGCTAATAAAAGGGGCAACCATACGCCCTACACATGGTAATGATACAGTAACATGTAGGTGTCAATCTCTTTATTGTACTTTTTAGCCTAAGTCAATTTTTTATCCCATTGCAGCAAACAAATTTGTATTAAATATAATAATTCTGGGAAGCACTATGAAGCCATTGTTTTCCTTAAGGTCAGGAAAAATGAGTCACGCTTAGAGGCTACCTCTCTGTAAACATCCTCCGCAGGGCACCCTTCACATCAGGGTTCCTCAGGCTGTAGATGAGTGGGTTCAGCATGGGGCTGATGACAGTGTTGAAGATGCCAATGCCTTTGTCCTTATCTGAAGCCTCCACGGAACCCAGCCTCATGTAGTTGAAGACGCCAGTCCCATAGAAGATGCTCACCACAGTAAGGTGGGAGCCACATGTGGAAAAGGCCTTCTTCCTGCCTTCAGCGGAGCGGATCCTCAGGACTGCAGCTACCACATGGGCATAGGACACTGTGATAAGTACTAACGGTGTCACAGCCATAAATGCTGCGGCTATAAAGAGCAACTGCTCATTAAGTTGGGTGCTGGAGCAGGAGAGCTGGAAGAGCTGAGGAAGGTCACAGTAGAAGTGATTGATCACATTGGGGCCACAGAATTTCAGGGTGGACAAAGCAATAGTATGGGCCAGTGCATTTGTGAGGGCACAGGTACATGACATGCCCACCAGGGATTTCTGAATTCCCCAGCTCATATGTGTGCTGTAGGTGAGGGGGTGGCAGATGGCCAGGTAGCGGTCATAGGCCATGACAGTCAACAGGAAGCAATCTGCTCCAGCCAAGAAGTGAAAGAAGAAGAGCTGTGAGAGGCAAGATCTATAGGAGATGCTTCTATCATTGAATAGGAATTGCTGCAACATGGCAGGGACTGTGACAGTGATGCACCCAACATCCAGCAGGGACAAGTTCCCCAGGAAGAAGTACATGGGGGTGTGGAGTTTGGGTTCAAGAAGAATGGCAGCAAGGATGCTGAAGTTGCCACCAATAGTAGCTACATAAGCTAGAAGAAAAATAACAAAGAGGATAGGTTGTAGGGCTGGAGAATCTGTTAGGCTCAGTAGAACAAATGTAGTCACAAGCGAAACATTTCCTGAGGCTCCCAATTGCATCTCTCTCTTCTACCAGCAGCAGAGTAAGAAATGTACAAAGGTGCCAATGGTGAGACAAATCAAGTGAGGTCTTGATAACAACCTCTGATACAGCAGTATCCAGGAGATACCCGGATGTCAGGACACATGCAATTAAAAGGAGGAATGTTTAAGATTGAGAAGAAATATGAAAAGACTTGATGTATCTTACTCTTAATTAGTAAGAACAATTACATTGGGAAGATTCAGAGAAAGGAGAATTGATGTAAAATTCTCCAATTTAAGAAACAAAACTTTGGAAACAACTGAGGAACAAATGTGCATCTAAAGTTAGAAGGAAAAGTGATTTTTTTAACCAAAAGTTCCAGAAAGGAACCTACAAATGTGTGCATGATTTTTTTTAGACAGGAATTGAACTCAGGCCCTTGCACTTGCCAGGCAAGCACTTATTCTACGGAGCTATCTCCCTGGCCCCTGTGCATGATTGTATGGCCATAGCCTAGATACATAAGATCCGAGAGGATGAAAAGTAAGCCTTAGGATAAAGAGGATACATGATCCCCCAAATACTGTCCTCCCAACATACACAAACATGTGTCATCAAACAGCTGTTCCTTGGTATTTCTACGGTACTTGTCCCAGAACTCTTCAGGTACCAATCTCTTCAGATGTGCCAGGCCTGTATATGGAAGGGTATAATGTATGCACAAAACCTGGTTATGTCTTTCCATAATGTAAAATCATCTCTAGAATACCCATAGTGCCTGTTAAATACACTTGCTATGTGAATAGTTATATTGTTTAGGGGATAATTTGAAGGAAAGTGTCTGTACACAGTCAATACAGACACAAGTTTCCCCAGTTTTTTTATTTTTTAAAATAATATAAAAAATAGCATTAGAAACAAAACAAATTTCACTTACAAAATAATAGGAATTCAATAATGATTGCTCTACTGTATGATGTTATCTTCAAATTAGTTGTTTAAGTTACCAGATATAAAGGTGCAAAATTGGTTAAAAAGCAACAACAAAAAGTTAGAAATTAAACAGAAACAAAATAAGAAGAAAAAGAAAAAAAATTTAAGCATTAACTCCTCCTTTCAAAAGACCAGGAGGAATTGACAGTACAATTATCCAAATCATCCTGCATGTATACATAAATATATCTTTTCCCCTTTTTTTCTTTTGTCCTTTTCCTCATCCCAGTTTTTCCTTCACACTGAACAAATTCTTTCCCTTTCATAGTATCTGTTGAACCTTTCTAATTTTATTTACTCTTTCAGGTTTTCACATTGGCAAGATAATATGATATTTGCCCATGAGGTCTGAGTTATTTCACTCACCAATACAGTCTCCAGTTGCATCCATTTATCTACAAAAGCCTCCAAGTTATCTTTTTTTTAAATAAATGAGCAATACTCCATCCCTGCTTGGCTGTATTTATGATGTGGAAACCACAAACACGAAGGCCTGGGTCTGAGTGACGGCATCAGTGAGGTTACAATGGCAGCCTGACATTAAAAGATTATTCTATGGAACTATGAGCCTTCTTCTGAAAGTTTCAGAAATAGATGAAATGCCATGAAAAACGGTGAAACCAACTGAAGACACATCAAGGAAGATATTTCCAGTTCCAGGGCTGGTGATTACCAACTTTTTAAATTTTATAAATAGTGGGATCACATCGCATTTTGCCACATACAGTCTAGGAAACTTGGGGTCTCAAGTGTGGACATTTTACTAAATAAGAAGAATGTAAGAAGTGATTCGAGCAGGGTAATGTTTTTAAAGTCCAAGCTCCTGGTTGGTTGAATGGACAGCAGTTGTCTCTTGGGTTCTCAGCTGCATACTTTCAAGCATTGAAGTTTTAGCTCTTCATTCTTTTGTCTCCTGATTTTCATTATAGATCGTCAGGCCATGTACTATCAAGGGCCTCATGCTCAGATAAGAGTCACTGACAACCCATTACCATGCTCTTTTATATTGTGCTTCTTTAGCACCAAAGTGTTATTCTAACTAAATTCACAGTGATCTACCTCAGCCTCTGGCTGAAAGACAAATACTAAGGAGCCTAAGTCAGACGGAAGAGAAGACTCACAATGTGTCCTCAGAAGCAGAATAGGTGAGTTGCCTCCACAAGATATCCTTTTTCTCCATGGACAAATTCTAACCACTACCTTAAACTCAGTATTTCTAAATCTAAGTTGTCCTTCTTTAATCTGACTTTCCCTTGACTGAATTACTTTAACCCAGCCTGGCCATCTTTCCACTTTATTGGGCTTAAAACTTCAGTCTTTACTGCCTCTTCCTTTCCTCCACTCTCTCAGTGCCAAGCACCCAAGTCCCATCGGAACTTTTGGGGTGGGAGAGAAAAGCTCTTCCAGGGCCAAAGGGTGAACTTCACATATATGGAAATCAAGTCATAAGCCTGAAGCAAAGGGTCCTGTGTTGTCACTCACCCAGTTAAGGAGATGGGCACTTCTTGGGTTTACAGGACGTACATTCTTGCTGGATTAATAATCCTCAAAGTGAAGATTTTATAAATGACAAACAGACAAAGAAACAAACAACTTGGCTGATGTCATTTTCACATTGGGATTTTTCTCATCCACATCATTATCCCTTGGAGGCCTCAGAAATTAGTGCCTTCCAGGGAGAACTGCTTTAGCTAAACACATAATGATCTCTAGCACCTTTAAAATGTTTCTAACTTTCTAATCGTGTTCTTAAGTTCAGCTTTCATAGATATGACAAAATTCATTCTTTTTTAAAAACAAATGTACATTAAGCACTTGTGAATCAGCATTTTTATTGCCAGCATTTTACAGACTTGAAGTGAGTCTCAAAAGCCTCTCAGTCTAGAAAGTCACAGTGTTACGAAAAGAGTTGAGTTTAGGATTTATGGTTTATTCCAATGTGTCATTTTAGGATAGAAAGGGAGAGGAGAGATCACTGATTCATGCCTCCCTCACACAGCCTGCAGCAGGAGGTTGAGGTGTTGGGAACCCAGGACAAATCTGCTCCTCTTTTACCTCTGAAGAGATGTCCTCCCCATTCTCTCTTAAAGTCACTTCATATCACAGCTCACTTTACTATCCTCAACCATATCTTTTCTTCTAGTTCCCAACAAATGCCTCCCCCCCCCGTTCCTACAGACAGTACAGTCCCTGTGGCATCCTGACCCTGAATATTTTCCATTCTCATGTTTCCAACACTGTCCACACAAATTAAGGTTTAGAGCATCTTCTACACCAGGACCAACTTACTTTTAATAATTCCTGAGTGTGACTGCAGGCATCAAGGGCAATGTTTTACAATTATTTTTCTCATTACTATTTCTGTATTATTATTTTCTCAGCATCCCTATTAACTTAATAATGTCATGGTACAAAGCAAGCTGGCAAAGAATTAGGATGAGTTGATATTTCTATTAATGGTGGGCCACGGAGCTGTAACTCCAGGTTACAGAACCACATAGAACAACTTCTTCCCCTCACATATTGAAGGCTCTATTGGCTTCCCAGAAAGTAAACATTTTTCAGAGAGTTTTGAAAAATCTTTATTCACTTTAATGAGAAAAAAGATAAAATAGCAATGAAAAGGTTTCAAAACAGTTTAGTAGGATAGTTGTAATAACTAGTACATTGCATATTGTTGTCTTTGCAGTAGTTATTCAGAGGACAAGCTGTGGACATGATATCTTTCTAAACAATATTATTACAAACCTTTCTTCTCATTGAACTAAGAGAAAGTAGCTGTATATTTATCCTAACTATCTAATATGTAGATGTACATGGTTCCAGAGTAAATCCTGAGGGGATTTGACTGACCTTGTCCGAAAGCAAAAGTTACATATATAGTTATATAGGTCTTGCTTTAACTTAGTCTTAACCATCCAGCAGAAAAGTGTAACCACAAGGAATAAAAAGTAAAGCTATATTAATATGCTGAGCTGTAAAAGGCTCAAGTCAACAACTTTAGACAATTGCCAGTTGTGCTGGTAACTCACTACTATTGTAGGCTATTGGACTATTTTGGGTATTTTGATGAATTCAAGTACCTACAATCTTTGGACTGGCATCAAATATGAAAAGGTCCTTTTTCACACATTGTTAACTCAGAAAAGTTCATGCTTGAAGGCCAACTATAGGTCTGAGATCCAGAAAACTGTTCATGAGTCTCTGGAACTGGAAAGATTGGATTTCCAGAGCCAAAAGGACATGCATGACAGATCCCAATTTTTATCTTCATCCCAGACACTAAGCTGTTGGCTGTGATAACCTATGTGTACAACAATATTAAGTTCAAAATAGATTACATCACTTTTCCCCTTTGTACAAATTCTGCATTTGTACAGAGACACACAGAGAGAGGTAAAAAAATGTGAGAAGAGCTGCTATGGTTATACTCTTAAGCCTAGGACGGGTAGATTGGTTCTTAACTCAGAAGAGATGGACCTGGTGAGTGAGGTCTCACCCACACTGGCAGCACAGATGCTTTTCTGATCTGAATGCCAAAGCCTAAAGTTAGACCCATGTCTATCACCATGCACTAAAGTCAAAATGGATCAAAGATTTAAATATTAAAGTAGAAGCCTGTGAATCTTGTGGAGGAGAAAGTAAGTAGGAATCTTAAAGACATATGGGTAGGTAAGGAGTTCATGAAGAAAAACCAAACCATAAGGGAAATATTGCAAAGAATGAACAATTGGGTCTCATCTTATTAAAAAGTTTCTCCACATCAAAAGAAATCACCAACAGAATAAAAGAAAATCCACAAACTGGGAAAAAACTATAGCCCACTGTCTCTGAGACAAAGGACTTTTTATCTAAAACATATAATGAATTTTTAAAAATCAGGAACCCTACATTCAAAGATCCAATTTAATAATGGACATCTAAGATGAATATATACTTCTCAGATGAAGAAATACAAATGGCAAATAAATAGATGAAAATATGTTCATCTGTGTTCATTGGTCATTCAAGAAATGAAAATTGAAGCCACACTGTGATTCTG